ATGAATGAATGAATAATACTACAGTGTTTTATTGCGTTACAGTACTTGAAACTCTACTATAGACAATGATTAAAGTCTATAAAGCAGCTATGAATTTCTTACTTGTTCACGTCTGTTCTTTTTTTTGTTCTGACTTGTTTGTAATTAAGACGCACGTTTCTGGCTTGTTTATGCCTGTTACACATGTTTCCTGATGTGATTATGACCAAGACACACGTGGACAGACTTGTTCACGTTTGAGGCAAAATGTTATAAAATCCTTAAAAATCAGGAACTGTATTATAAAGAAGGTAGAATATTTCAATATACTGTAAAGCGAAGCGTTTTCTCTTTTACACTTTGGGATTTTGTGGTGAGAACTACGTTCCACCAAACCCATATATCCAAGAACTATTTCTACTTCGTACTGTAGCTAAAATATCGTTATATCAAAGTCTGGGTAGCCTTTGTCAAATTGAAAAGAGATGCAAGAGTATTTAAAGGGCAGCTTTTTCCAAGTTATTAACGTCTAGTATCCCTACTTTGAGTGCAGCTATTACAAACACACAATCTTTCAGACGTTAACATTTTACATAATAATCATGATAATGGTTATGTACAGTTGTTGTTAAATGATCATATTGTTCCAAAGGTAACTATCGGTTTTTACAAACACCAGTTCAAATCAAAGCAGTTATTGTTAATCGATATGTTTTCAAAACAATGAATATAATCAATTTTATATTTGATTCGGTGAATGTATTGAGGCTGAGAAAACAGTGTTACAAAGGGATTTTTTTTACAGCCCCTATAAATAAATTAACTTGATATTGCCTGTGATTTTTCAGTAGGCTGACCCAGCGAAAACGTAGTTCGTCTGACAGAGACGAATGAACGGATCGTAAGTGAGAAATTGCATTGGTAGCAAAAAATAAAAAATAAAAACGATGCTGCTCTTAAAAAATCATTTTTTTCTACGTTCTAGACAATGTCTAAGTAAGAACGAATTACGTATTTATAAAGAAAGGAATAAAAAACTTAAATAATTAGTAGGCCAGGCATTACTCAATGGTTAGGGAGTGCGAATTGATGGTTCGGTTCGTGGTTTGCGTCCCATTGCAGTGACAATAAATACGTTTACTTTGTTTGCTGACCTGGGTATGTCAATCAATAAACTTCATCCGTGAAGGCAATAAAAGACCTCTTTAAGTATTATTTTCTCTGACAGACAGACGTACAGACATACTCTGACAGACATAATGACTTCATGAGTCTATTCCTCTTCGGCTTCAAGTGTGGTTAAAAAGAAAGTCGAAGAAGTCCGGTGTGCTCATTAGCTCTGTCTCAAGAAGCAACTGGAAAAGTTCGTTATCATCTTCTCAAGAAAAGTTTTCTAGAGCAAAAGATTTTTTCAAATAATTGTCATGAACCATTTTCAACTTAAAAGGAAACGTCAAAGAAATAAAATCCAATGCAGGAAGCTTTAACTTAAATAATATAGTAAGGTCAAAATAAAAATTGAATTTGTTTCCCCCCGACTGACCTTAAAAGTACTAAACTCATTTTTTTTTTATCAGGCCAAATGACTTCTTTTTCAATGTCGTCGTTTTTCCTGAACCCGTATTACAATGTATACAGTGTTTGGCCCCGGGTTTTGTCGTTTTTCCTGAATCCGTATTACAATGTGTACAGTTTTTAGCTCCGAGTTTTGTCGTTTTTCAATGTGTACAGTTTTTTGGCCCCGGGTTCTGTCGTTTTTCCTCAATCCGTATTACAATGTGTACAGTTTTTGGCCCCGGGTTTTGTCGTTTTTCCTGAATCCGTATTACAATATGTACAGTTTTTGGCCCCGGGTTTTGTCGTTTTTCCTCAATCCGTATTACAATGTGTACAGTTTTTGGCCCCAGGTTTTGTCGTTTTTCCTGAATCCGTATTACAATGTGTACAGTTTTTGGCCCCAGGTTTTGTCGTTTTTCCTGAATCCGTATTACAATGTGTACAGTTTTTGACCCCGGGTTTTACCTCGCAAACATTCGTTTCAGCTAGTGTCAACAATAAAAATGTCAGCTCTGCCACGAGGAACCGGCAAGTTTTAAAATAGATTAAATTGTTCAGATTCGTTGACAAAAACAGTTTTAATGTTTGTTTGTTTTGGTTCTGTGTTTGTACTTGATAACGACGGCACTAGCAACGAATTGGAATAGGACAGTTCGGTAAAAAGCTATCATCCTTGTATTGGATTAAGTTGTCTTAATGACGGGTAATGTACAATGTGAAAAAAAAAAATAGTAAACGACTCATGGAGTATACCGATTATTTTACCAGTCAGTATACTGAATTTTAGTCCTAACGTAGACAAGTTTCAATAGATATAAAACCTGATACATCGTGTCCAATTAAATGTACTTTATAGCATACCAAAAGTCCTAAGAAGTCCAAATATTGGAACATGTCCATTTCTTGAGGGAGAAAAATTGGATTTTTGACAAAAACTAAAAATTCACTGTAACGTTGCTAATTATAAATGGTCAGGTTTGATACACTGTGCAACATATTAAACAATATATAAAAATCTATATATTGTGAAACGTCTTTATTTTTAACTGAAAACTTTGTTTTATTTCAAGGTAGATAAGATCTCCAGAATGGATCTTTATTAGCTCAATATTTCGTCAGGAGCTATTAAGTTCACTAATCCAGTTGAAACTAAATTGGATCACCGTCAACCATTAACCGAACATCTATACACGTATCTAAAAGGTTTCAGATCGTATTAAAATAGCATTAAACATTCTTGAATTTAATTTGTTGAAACGACTGATTCGTTGTTTGTATGTTTGAATTAAGCACAAAACTACACAATGGGCTATCTGTGCTCTGCTCACCAAACAACCCGAAAGAATAATGGTAAATAAATAATATGTGAAAATCAACCATCAAAATTATAGTATTTAGAATATATACTGATATTGAATAGTAATGTCTCGTAATAAACTACAGTTTGCGTTAAACAGAGTTAAAAATAATAGTGTTCTTTTCTGCGAAAGTTGTGTTTCCAGTTTATTTTCAACAATATACATTTTTCTTGTTGCTTTATCCATTTCTGTTATGTATAAGCTTTTTTAACATTCAATTAATGATCATTGATTGTAACTAAAAAGGAATATTGTTATCGCATCAAGAAGACGAAATAAATCGGGCAAGTGGAAAACGGGGTCAAAACAGGACAAACTGTCCTGAAACAATGTGGGTAAATGTATTCTAAGCTCCAAAATATGACTGCTACTCACAAAAGGCCTATTAGTGCTGAAAGTGAAGCTCGATGGTTTTACGTTTAAAGAAAGAAGGGTTTCATTTCAGAGAGGATTTTCTTTTCTGTGGACATGATAGATATGAAGGAATTTTAACTTATTCCTGTCAGAACCTCGGATTTTAACGATTCCTTTGACAGGATGTTTAAGCTTAGAAATGACGAGTTGTTCAGAAAGGTTCATAGAAGGTTTTTAACCGCTCTAGATGTCCACACTGCAGATGATGTCTACACATACAGTACATTTATAACAGGAAAAGCTATTTCACATATGTTTGAGAAGTTCAATCATGGAGGCTAATCTTTAAAAAAAAACACTTATTAAACAAGTTGAAGGTCAAAGGTTGGACGCATTTAAAAGGTCTGTCAAGGTCGAGTAAAACGACGAAGAACAGCCTATTGTTGTGTATCTTATGTTTAGACTGTGAATCTTGCAGTTCGAAGTATATTAAAAATATTGTTGAACGTTTTGTTAAAGATGTATTGATTGCAGAAGCTTGTTTGTGTGTTTGTTGAATTTAGCGCAAAGCTACTCGATGGTTATTTGATCTGGCTGTCTCTAATTTAAAAAAAATAGACAACACCGCCCACAGCCAACGACAAGTGAGATTGACGTTACCTTTACAACGACTCCACGGCAGAAAATACGACTATGTTTAGTGACAGGATTGGAACCCCCTGACACGCAAAATGGGAGTCGATCGCCCTAACCACCAAGCGGTGTCGGGTGGCTACAGAAATAAGGTCTTCTGTGCATCCCAACTTTTGGAGAATGCCTAGATGTTAACTGTCAAAATTTAATCTAACTTGAATGTATTGTTACTATAGATGATTAAACTCAAAGTGAGTAGTAAAACTGTTCTTATATCATCGATTTTGGAATAAATATTCTCCACACTCCTCAATATGGCTGTATACTGCCTAAGACTACTTCTCCAGACAAATGTATTTCGTCGCTTAAAATTTCATTCAAATATAACTATTCCTGCTACTACATTTAGTAATCCCCTGTTTTTCACGCTTTTCAAAGTGGAAGCAATGATTATCTTTGGCAAATGTTCAGTTCCTAGCGCCCTCCAGTGGCACAGCGGTATGTCTGTGGACTTACTCGATACCCGTGGTGGGCAGAGCACAGATAGATCATTGTGTATCTTTGTGCTTAACTACAAACAAACAAACAGTTCCTAGTACTCTATAGGATTTTTTTTTTGTAGATGGTGTATGATAATTTATCTAAAATAAAAATCATGTGTTTCTTGAGATTGGGCAATGAGTATCGTATTTACAATCAGTTACCAGTTTCCATTTTTCTATATATGTTTTTTTCCAATAAAAGCCAATGTTTTTCTCCAAAATAAGAAAACCCACTTCCAAGGACTCTTGTATATTATAAGATAAACTTACAAACTGATAGTCTGCAAACTTTCCTTCCAGTTACAGCTTGTCCAAGAGATGACTTACAGTTCCTTCTTGTTACAGCTTGTCCAAGAGAATACTTACAGTTCCTTCTTGTTACAGCTTGTCCAAGAGAATACTTACAGTTCCTTCTTGTTACAGCTTGTCCAAGAGAATACTTACAGTTCCTTCTTGTTACAGCTTGTCCAAGACATGGCCTACAGTTACTTCTTGTTACAGCTTGTCCAAGACATGGCCTACAGTTCCTTCTTGTTACAGCTTGTCCAAGAGATGACCTACAGTCCCTTCTTGTTACAGTTTGTCCAAGACATGGCCTACAGTTCCTTCCTGTTACAATTTGTCCAAGACATGGCCTACAGTCCTGCAGATTGTATGAAACTTTGAATTCTTCATTATAAAAACAAACCTTTTAGCCAGAATGAAGAATTTTAGCACATTGGGCTTTAATGCATTTTAATATGTTATATGTTGGATTTTATGCATACTTAATATATTATAAAACACGCTAATACAAAAACAACAAATATTACATAAATCTGACCATTAATAGCGAAGCTTGAATAAATTTATATTTTTTGTAATTTTTCTGAAAAACCAACAACTTTCCTCCAAGAAGGAGCATGTACTACAACCAACCGTTAGTATCATATAATTCTTCATTATTACGACAAAATGCACTACAACCAACCGTTAATATGTGTACTACTACAAAACATTAAGATCATATAACTCTTCGTTATTACGACTAGATACACTACTACCAACTGTTAATATCTACCACTACCAAACAATAAAATCATATAACTCTTCATTATTACGACTAAATGCACTACAACCAGCCGTTAATATGTGTACTACTACAAACATTAAGATCATATAACTCTTCTTTATTACGACGAGACACACTACTGCCAACCGTTAATATCTACCACTACCAAACAATAAAATCACATAACTCTTCATTATTACGACTAAATGCACTACAACCAACCGTTAATATCTATTACTACCAAACATTAAGATCATATAACTCTTCATTATTACGACTAAATGCACTACTACCAACCGTTAATATCTACTACTACCAAACATTAAGATCATATAACTCTTCCTTATTACGACTAAATGCACTACTACCAACCGTTAATATCTACTACTACCAAACATTAAGATCATATAACTCTTCTTTATTACGACGAGACACAGTACTACCAACCGTTAATATCTACTACTACCAAACATTAAGATCATATAACTCTTCATTATTACGACTAAATGCACTACAACCAGCCGTTAATATATACTACTACCAAACAATAAGATCATATAACTCTTAATTATTACGACTAAATGCACTACAACCAACCGTTAATATATACTACTACCAAACATTAATATCCTACAACCCTTCACTATTATGACTACATTACGCTAGTACCATCTATTAAGATCCCACAACCCTCTACGACTGCAACTTTAATGCGCTACTGCCTATTAAGATCCCAACTTGTTCTATGATTAAGATATAAATATTTTCACCTTTTCGAGGTCTGAGGGTTGTTTCTCTCTCGACTTTATAAAGTTGAAAGTTGAATGTCTAAATTTAGAAACTCAGTCAATATTAATTCTGTCGTAACTGTAAACACAAGTAAATATACCAGATTGTACATACTGCGAGAATTTACTGACTACGTATACCTTCTGACAATCTGCTTTTGTTGCTAGTAATGTCTCCTTCCTAGAGAGAAAACACAACCAAGCGTACACTTTAACTGGCTGAATTCTAACGATCATAATATATTCTGGAAACATTCGTAGCTTATTATACGAATGAAGACGCACTCTATAATTAACTGTGACATTTGAAACATTTATCATCTGCTTTACATACGTACGTTTAACTGTGACATTTGAAACATTTATCATCTGCTTTACATACGTACGTTTAACTGTGACATTTGAAACATTTATCATCTGCTTTACATACGTACGTTTAACTGTGACATTTGAAACATTTATCATCTGCTTTACATACGTACGTTTAACTGTGACATTTGAAACACGTAGCATCTGCTTTACATACGTACGTTTTACTGTGACATTTGAAACATTTATCATCCACTTTACATACGTACGTTTAACTGTGACATTTGAAACATTTATCATCTGCTTTGCATACGTACGTTTAACTGTGACATTTGAAACATTTATCATCTGCTTTGCATACGTACGTTTTACTGTGACATTTGAAACATTTATCGTTAGTTTCGCATAGGTCAGTTTTAAGGAAATTCTTTAAAATTCCTGATAAGCAGACAAATATCGCAAATCGAGGAAAGGTTTTAGACGAACTGATAATAAACAGAAGTTGAAATTTTCAACCCGAACAGCATCTTATGTCCACGAGGGCTATACGGCTAAGTTAGGGACTCTATATGCATGAGGGCTATACTGCCAAGTCAGATACCTTCAAGGGTTCAGGAATAGCTGGCTGTAGCTTTGAAATATTAACCAAAGGTAGAGCAGCTAGCATATATCTGTCACTACAAGGGCTTTGATCGACCCTTTGAACCAAATAACGGAACTGACTGTCACTTTTACAACGCAACAACAGCTGAAACTACGGAGAGTGTTCAGTGGAATCACATTTCGAGTCTAGGAACCATCGATCCATCACCTGGTCATCTAATCGATAGGTCACGCCCGATCCATAATGAATAGTACCCGAAGAAGAACAAAACTTTGTCTCGGGAGACAAAATAAAGAACATAATGAAAACAAACAGGCCTTTTTTAGTTTAACCCTAATGTTACTGAAAATATTATCCATATGCCAGTTATACCCCCCGGTAATTAAACTACAGTGTTTGCTCAGTTATTAAACATAAATGAATATATTATATTATTATATCTATAGAAATAAGAAAAAAACAAAAACAGGGAGTTTGAGTAGTAAATTAATCTGCACTTTGGTCTGATGAACTTTCAATGTAAAACTGAACATCACGTGCCCATATAATGCGTGTGAGCACAGTTCTACCAACACACGTGGACTCTATTGTTATGAGTAATCTTCGGAAACTTTTCACAAAACTTTATTAATCTATACCTTGCATTCGATAGAGGGCGAGAAAAATAAGAAATTCTTCAATATGCTGCAAATTGCTGTGTGTTTGTTTTTTTTTGTTTTTGTTTTTTGCAAACGGATTACCATAGCAACCAGTATGTGTACAAAATCTCACTAACCAGTGATACGTACGTATAACACGTTGTTTTTTATTATATTTTTTTAATGACTAGACTTTGAGAACATGGTAAAATATAATAAAGCATTTGGGCTTCGACGAGTTGACCTTACAGAGTACAATAAGACAAGACAAGCAGAACGCTTTTGAACTGGCCTCATCCAAGCCACGTAATTAAGATGAAAGAATGGGTTCTGATCTTACCTTTGGAATATTCTAACAAGCAGGTGTTCGTTCCCAGCAAAGAAAGAAAACTGGAAATATCACGAACTGCTAAGTTAATAACGCGATATGTGGCCTTCTGATACAATTATTCACAAACTTCAGTGTCGAATGGGTTTTTTTTTTCTTCCAAGAATAGGGCTTTTATAAAAGTTTTCCTCCCGATCTTCCAAAAAAAAAGTATTCAGGATTAGTTAAAAGGAATTTCCTATCGATTTCTACTTCTCTAGAATCTCTTCAGTAAGAAACATGCTTACATTGTATTTATCAATCAGGCAGCTTAATGTACGATTATCGTCACGTTCAGGAAAGCGACCGACAACGTGATGTATGTATATTAAAGCAGACCTTCTCTCAGTTGTGGAGAGCCATTAGGCGTTTAAAGAGACAAGGTTAACATGTAAAAGTTCCTGTTACAGTTTTTACTTTTCGGTTATCGTGTTGGGTTGCGGATCGAAGGGTCCAGGGTTCGAGACGTGATGTCGCAGAATACGTTGTGCACTTTCATATGTATATACGTTATAAAAGTGACAGACAATCCAGTTATTTTGTTCCAATGGTTTAACTAAGTCCTTATTGCAGTAGTTGCTTCTGATTGGCTGCTTTCTTTCTGGTCAGTAATTCAGTAATAGGAATTATACACTCAAACCTAACATGGCCGTCCAGCATACGAATGTCCTTCAGGTTGAAAATTCTAATTCTAACTAATAATTTTTTTAGCTGCATCCATAATCTATACGGTTCAACTATGGATGTCTCCTTAACTGTCCCAATCATTCGTGATGCAATAAATAATACAGGGTTCTGCGATTCAACTAAAATCTTCAGGGATTTTTTTCTTCCGCCGGTATTTCTTTAGGAAGTCACTTTTGGAATCATAAGTGTTTATGTCTTCGTACTTCAATGAAGCAGATCTTATTGCGGGGCAGCTACCAATTTTGTGAGGTTCTGAATTTTTTTTTCTTGAAGATCTATAAGCGTTTCCAGCGCTACAGCGGTACTTATCTTCAAGTGACAGATAAATTAAACTCAGTCACTCACTTTTTCCCAGGAAATATGACTTGACAAAGAAATAAAGGTTTGTCTCGTGCGAACGTATCATAATTTTAAAACCCAGTATAACTATTTTCACAAAAATGTGGAAAAATAAATTTGGTAATTTCATGTATAAACACACGTCTTTATTAAAAATTTGTCTTTTTTTTTCTAAACCTGAAATGCCTATGTTTCTATCTGTATGTCTGTCAGGGTAGATTTGCAAGACTAGGTAGTTTGGAATTAACATTTTACTACATAGATTTTTTTTTTTTCTCAAACACAGCAAAAACATATGAAGGTGTTTGGATTTGAGGGATTTATATTGCCACAACACAGTAAAAGATTAATGTGTTGGGAGGTTTGCTGCCACAAAACAGTAAAAAATGGTGAAACTGTTCGAATTTTCACTGCCATAATACAGTGAACAGAGATATAGGTGTTGGGATTTTTACCGCCAGGATACAGTAAAAAAGGATGAAGGTGTTCGGAGTTTTATTACTACGAGTGAGAAAATACGTTTTGTTTTACAATGACCAGTTAAAAAGTATTTGAAAAATAAATACACTGCAAAAAATAAAGATAAAACTACTGTGTAAAAGACGTATTTGGCAAAGACAAATCTTTGACAGAAGAGAGCCAAGTTTAAACTCCTTTAACATGACAAGAAAAAATAAACTAAAAAAATTTTAAAGTATTCTCTAAATTTTTTTTTTCTATTTAAAATTATAAAACATTGATACAATTCACTGGCTTACAGCACCTATCTAAGAACTAGCAGCAAATATACAAAGTACATTATATTCTCCAACTACCTTATCACCCAACAAAAGCCGTGTACACAACTAGCACGATAGACTTGCGAAACCATGAACATTGTTTGAAAAAAAGACAACTCTAACACACTTCACCCAAACTTTGGTCTATCATTACGGAAAACAATGTCTCCTTATTTCGTTTGCCCTTGACTAGAGTTACTGATGAGGTAAGGAATTTTTGTAGAACCAAACCAGCTCAGCGAAGAGTGGCAAATCCATAAGTAGATTTAACCTCTGTTTTCTTTTTCTTTCTTTTTTTTTTTTTTTGGAGGGAAGAGTATTTTTGTGGCGAAAAAAAGAGATGTTTCTATGCAAATTTCTAAGGAATAAGTGCGGGAAATGTTGCTAAATGAGCTTGATTAACTTGTACGTTGCTCTGGTTAGTAGTTTATCCGATCAGCTAAACCTAGTTGTTAATTATTAACTTTATATTTTCATAATTAAATACTAATAACTAACCAGTTTACACAGTGTGAAGACAGGCATCACAAACTGCCTAGTGTCAAGAGTGTTTGTTTGTTTCTTGTTAAGCACAAGGCTACAGCAGGGGCTTTCCGTGCTGTGCCAACCACAAGTATCGAAAAACGGTTTCTAGCGTTATAAGTTCGCAGACATGCCGCTGTGTCAATGGAAGGATGGGGGGGTGGGGGGTTAAGAGTGAAAAAGTCGAGTGGATAATGTACCAGACTACCGTAAAGAATGAACCAGAATATAATCCAGATTACTAACAACACAGAAAATAGTCCTTATCAAAATTTCCATGACGACAATAGCAGATTAGCAGCCGAAGCGTAGGGTGTAAAACCTAATTAATAGTTAATTATTAAAAAAATACTAATTAATGATTAGACGCAGGCGATCGTACAGGCTATTAACCATGACAAATATTGCTATCTGATCGTTGCAATCTTACGTTTAAGTTTTTGATACAGTCAAAATATAATATGCCACAACGACGCTAGTGGGTAGAAAAGAAAATGGATATCAAGGGTAAAGTCGTGTGTCTCTAATGATTGAGTCATCGCTTCTATCAAGCAAATTAACTAGAAGTCAGTCAAAAGGTAAAAACCTAGCGGTAAAAACTAACGACAGATATAAATTATTTAAATATCTGAGTAGTTAACCCTTAAGTTGGACCTTGACATGATTTTTATCTTTCACTAGTTCTTTTTTTTTTTTTTTTTTTTTTTACCGAATAACAAGAAGGGGTGATGTATTTCTGGTACCATCGATATATCTCATTAACGACCACTTCTTTTCAAAATGATAATGTGATCTTTTAAGATGTAACAGTAAACTGCACATATTTTCACACTTTTGTTTGGAGATGATTAACGACACATTAACAAGTCGAGTTACAAGTTCCTAAATTATATATGTTATTTGCCCTATCGTGAAGGCCCAGTGGGGGCCTTGAACAGGTATATAGTCCTTCATATTGCATGGTCGCCATGGTAACCGGTCCGCAGTACCATTTATTACTACCCGCTCTCGTGGAAACGAGCAAGTAATACAGTTTTGGAGGAAGCAAAACCTTAAGTCCGAATACCAGCTAATGGATCGATGTCTCGGAATACCGAAAATGATAACTTCTATCTTAATCGGTTTTATTTCAATCCACTTAACGCGTAACATCCCTATGAGGTTAGTTGAAACTATAAGCTATGCTATGTTACTTGTGAGATCTTTTAACAAGAAAAGAAACTCTGTATTTTTTTAGCAATCAAGAACAAAGAAATTACTAAGACCATAACATGACGTGTCCACAAAAAATAATGTTTATTTACTTGAGATGTGAACCTCTGCTACCATGACTCTCAGGAATTCCGTTACATCAACGGTTTGTTTGTTGTTAAGCACAAAGCTACACAATGGGTTATCTGTGCTCTGCCCACCACGGGTATCGAAACCCGGTTTCTAGCGTTGTAAGTCCGCAGACATACCGCTGTGCCACTGGGGGGGGGGGCTATATCAACGGAGATAGATTGCTACATCTCAGCGCTACACGGATCCTACAACATTTTCAAAACATTCAAATGTAGACGTTAATATAAATATTATAAACGTAATTTCCGGACACCTTACACATTCAATCAAGTGTTTGTATATCCTTTTCCTCGCGAAATACGATAACGTTATTTAATTAATTAAATTCATAAGATTTTGTTTCCTAGTTTTCAAAATTGTTTAGTAATTAATTCAATCAAGTCTATTGTTTTTGTATATCCTTTTCCCTCGCGAAATACGATAACATTGTCCAATTAATTTAATTCGCAAGAAAAAAAAAGTGAAAAAAAAGAATATAAATAGATATTTAGGCCCACGAGTAATGGAAGTAAATTTTTGTAAATCGTGGTTGTAAATGGCGCCACTGTAAAAAATATGCTAATTATATACACGTACATAGGTTTATAAGAAACTTCGTGTTTACTTCGTGGTTTATTCTCCGGAAGATGGTGGAATTATTTCCACCGAAACACGTAGATTTTTTAAAGTTTTTTAACTTATATTTTTTAAACTTTACAAATAAGTTATCGCGCAAGTAAAAAACGTTGATGATTAACTTTTTTATAATCTTTGTTCTTCTATCGGTAGTTTTGTAAAATGAGTGATAACAACGATTTTATTACCATTTCGCGAACTATTGTTAAAGTTGAAAATTTTTTATTAAGATGCAAAAAGAGAAGAAATCGAACATTCCAGAAATATTTAATGAATCACATGCAGTCGAAGCAGAGCCCTCTGAAGTTTCAATAACAAAATGTCATTGGAAACCGGATGTTCAGGAATAAAGTATTAATTTCTTCATCCGCCACGTCCCAAGAACATCTTCAAAAGCTCTTTCAACGCACTTGTCAGAAACGTAAGAGAAAACTTTGGAACAAAAACACCAAACAAGAACTCTCATTAAAAATCGATTGTTTCTTGCTGGAAATACCGAATTTTACGAGAACTTAATACGACGTTGAAACGTTGTATTAAAACTGATAAAAACTTTTATTGATTATATGCAATAACTTTAGATAAATATAGTCTTAAAAATTACGGTGAAGACCGTACAATTCAACCGGGGTTAACTCTTTTTCATTTTCATTTTTTGTTTATTTCGTAAAAGGCCTCAAGTTTACGAATGCGAAACTAAATCTATGTTTTTTTCATTCGTTCATAAGATGTAATTTATATGAATCTGCATACTTTTTCTGGATCAGGAAATTACATGCGTCGTCTGATGTCTGAAAGAAAACATGTTATTATTACGTTCTTTGTTTGGTAATGTATAGAATATATACTTATGGACCGATTCACTTTTTTTAACCTTATCAATGTTTAATGATTATTTAAAATATTTCAAAGATAGAAATAACTCAAATATACGCTATGTTTAAAATATTTAAATGTTTTTACAAAGGAAACGTAAAAACGTGATTGCAAATATTAGAACGAATGTATTTTTAGATAAAAGAAAAAAGAAAAGTTTAATGTATAAACGCTTTTTTTTTTGGTTATTCCATATTTACATATCCAACATCTTAGTTCACACAAGTATGGCCAGGGGGTTAGAGTGCTTGACTTGCAACCACAATCTCCGTCCCGCCAAATATGCTCGCCTTTTCGGCCGTGTGGGCGTTATGATGTGATGGTCAATCACACTATTTGTTGGTAAAAGAGTGGCCCGAGAACTGCCAAATTAGGAGTGGCTGGTGCAGATAGCCCTCGTGAAGCTTTGCGCGAAATTAAAAACAATACAAGTATAACAAACAACATTAGTGAAGGAGGGGTAATAGTGGTTAACATGGGAAAGCGCAATAACAACAACTAAAAAAAAACGAAGTTGATTACTTTGTTACTTCATGTATTGGAATTAAAACATCAACTACTTTTGTATTCCATTTCTGTTGATTAATTGACTATAAATATTATGTAATCTTTAAGAATATTAATTATATATATTATTGATAATTATAATTAATTATAATTATATATATATTATTAATACGTTGTTGATAACGCTCACTGTTATTTTCCAAGTAGTAATTAGACAACACATCCTCTTGCACCACTTTTTTTAAAAATAATATATATGCGATGTCGATTGGAACATCATTCGGACTCAAACGTCAAACTCAAAGTTAACACTAATTAGGTGACTAACAATAACACATTGTGTGGCAGTTGAAACTGAAAGACCGAGATTAAAGCTATTATAAACATTTAAAAAAAATAAACCAACTATGCACACAAAGTTACCTTCACTGAATGAAATAGACACATTAAATTGCTATACTAACTCAGAAATAGTAGCAACATTGTGTAAAATATATCTCTTAACGCGCGTAAGTTACAGGAAGGACATGACAAGAAGGATACGATTTACACGTTTGTCTCGCTTACGTCATACGCATGCGCATTATTGCTGACGAGTAGTTTACGTTGGAGATGGTGAGTACTTTCGTAAAGACTTCGAAATAATTGGTTATTTCCAATTTTTATGACAGATAATGGTATTTTGGTAGGTAAAACCTGACTACAGCATAATTTTTATTGATAAGAGTGAAAAACGTGGCATTTATAAAGTTTACCAGATCTATTTTTCTGTGTGATAATACAGTTGTATTCTTAATATTGCATTCTAAAAAGAGTTTTTTTGTAAGTGCAACAGAGAAGCTGGAGCGTTGTCCCGATTGGTGTGATGAAACAATATAAATAAATAATAAACTATTCATCGGATCTAACTTCTTAAAACGCCCCCGGTGGGTTAGTGGCAAATCTGGGGGTTTATAGAGCTAGAAATCGGGTTTTGATACCCATGGTAAGTAGAGTACAGATAGCCCATTGAGTAGCTTTGCTCTTAACAACAAACAAACTTTTCAAACGTCAACCTGCCCCCCAGTGGCACAGCGGTATGTCTGCGGACTTACAACGCTAGACTCCGGGTTTCGATACCCGTGGTGGGCAGAGCACAGATAGCCCATTGAGTAGCTTTGCTCTTAACAACAAACAAACTTTTCAAACATCAACCGTTTTTGTTTTCGACGGTTTGGTGCCTTACTGCCATCTAGCGGTCTCTCTGTTAGCTCTGTTTGTCATGCAAGTATCACTTTAAGCGTGTGTAAAGATTTCGGAAAGTATCGCACAACGGTTTATGGCTAAAAAAGTCACTCTCTGGGACGTAGTCATTAGTTTCATCTATGGGTGTTAAAGTAAACAGGAATGACACAAGAGTTTTGTTTTTTTAATAAGATAAAGAACATTTATCTGCTATTAAGAACAAAGCTGCTCAATGGGCTAACTGTGATTGGTCCAACGTAGATATTTGAATTCTAGGAACAATTGTTAACCAATGAGAAAGTACAATGCAGTGTAAAAGCAGAAAACAATTTTGATCATTTTTCACTGAGTATCAGACCTGACATGGCCTGGTGGTAAGGGAGCTCGACTTCCAGTCTGAATTTTGCGACCTCGAATCCCCGACTGGCCACCCACCTACAAAATTACCGACCGACCCCAAACTACATGGGATAAAGGTCGTAAAGGGGAAGAGAGAGAGAGAGAAAAAAAAGTTATTCGTATAATTTTGTTTACTAAAATAGAAAAACAAACAAGATAGGAAAATAAACTAGACTAATAAAGAGGTCGTAGGAAGACTGAATCTTCTGCTGCTCTGATCATAACTAAAGTTTTACGTTTCCACATCAACTGGCAGGTCTCACAAGAGCATATCGATCGGTTCTTGCAGACGTTTTCTGACTATGGAATACATTGTTGCCGTAGATTAATGTATATATATGTCTCTTGGCTTTGATTGTTGGAGAAGGATTCTCTGTTGCTGAAGGCTATTGTTGCTGAAGCAACAACCTTTACTGATGTGCTGAGTCTCAAAAATGCACGCTGTTTTCTCTAAAGCTGCTTATGTATGCCTTGTTGCGTTGCTTCCACACTGTGTGACAGCAAAATATAGAAAAAGCAACAAACATTCTTGTTCCCTTAGGTTAGCTCGATTCCACAAACGTCTCGGTTTTGTTTTTCTGGAACTACCATGGATTCTATATTTCAAGTTTGTAAGCGCTTGGAATCCTCCGATTATTCTTTAACAACCAGTCTTTATATCTTTATTAATAAATCAATAATGGAAATAGCAGCGGAGAAAAAAAGAGGTATCGGGGAACTGTTTATAGAACAAACAAGACATGGTTGACTAGTTTGTTATTTTTTCTCTTTGTACACAAAATAGCACAAAAAACAATTCGAACATAGATAATATATACTATACAGGCATACCTTCCACAATGGGGAATTCGATCGAAATTTACATAAACACTAATGTAAATACAGTAAATCATAAAAAGCGGGAAATATTTTAAAATTGGGAATGGTGAACGCCACAAACCTAGAAGGCCTTTGTATAATACATATGTATTAGACGATTCATTAAGCACCTCCCACACCTCTGTTCCCTACATTAACAGCAAACAAGATACTCACCGCTAAGAATCGGTTGCACCTTTTTTTAAAAAATACAAATAAACAATATAAACAATACCTCAACTGTTCAATAATGAAAGACTCAATAGAGCTGAAATACCCAGTGAATGGAGAGAATAACAGTTCACTGAAACAATAATGTAAATAACGTACAATAAACAATATAAACAATACCTCAACTGTCCAATAATGAAAGACTCAATAGAGCTGAAAAACCCAGTGAATGCAGAGAATAACAGTTCACTGAAACACTACTGTAAATTAAGTAAAATCAACAATAGCTGAACTAACTACTGGAGAGAGAGTGAGTAGGAGGTTGTTGGGGAAATACTGTAAATAAAGTAAAATCAACAATAGCTGAACTAACTACTGGAGAGGGAGTGAGTAGGAGGTTGTTGAGGAAATACTGTAAATAAAGTAAAATAAACAATAGCTGAACTAACTACTGGAGAGAGAGAGAGAGTGAGTAAGAAGGTTGTTGAGGAAATACTGTACATTAAGTAAACAATATAATAAACAATAGCTAAAATACACATTTAGATAAATACGGAGAAACATGTTGAGTCAAAAATCCTAAACTTAGTATAAAAATCAATACTAGAGTCACTTAGGGAAATCGGCAGTAATTTGCTGACATATGATCCTGAATTGAACAATGTTTTTTTCATCATTGTAATAAATGTGTTGACGTAGTGGTAAAAAGTCAAGACAACAGCTGCTGTGGCTACTGGAGAACGAGCTCTGTTGTCATGTCTGAAATTCAAGAGTTTGCCGTGAAAAATGTTTTTCTGTTTCCAATATTTTTTATACCTGAAACTGCTCAAGATTACTCTTAAATCATCAGTATGAATGAAGAAACATTTTGATAGCTAATTGTTAGAACACATTTATTTAAATTTTTTAATAGTTTGATATTATTTTTATCAATAATATTCAACTTTTCAATCGAACTGTTTTGAGCTTGTTCGATTGAAGTTAAGTTTACTAAATATCGTTACCTGGTGAGGATATATATACGATGTAGTAAAGATTATACACTAAATTATCTAATAAAGCGAAGTATAGATTTACATTTATTTCGTGTGCGACTGTTAATTAAAGTTAAATTGCAAGAAAAAAAATGTCTTTAGGGGGGTTGAAAGTACTATTTATCTTCACTGGAGTTAATTCAAAATATGCTTACTCCAAATGTGCTTTAATTAAACTTTCCCTGAATTAATTGCCTTAACATGATTTTTTTATTATTAATTACATATTGATTTGTTGTATGGGCTTAAGTTAGCTACGAGGAAAACAATAACCGATAAGGAAGGTGATTTGAAACCTTTGAGAACAATATTACAAAAACACGAGTTACTTAAGAGCTTTCGTCTAAATTGGGGGTTAATTAAACTTTCGGCGTAATTCCCTGAATACTGCGAACTGCAACGTTCTATTTTGAAACTTTATTTGAATTAATTTTGTTGTGAAATATGCATGGATAAGTTTAGAAAAGTAAGGTTATAAGTTAGAACGAAAAATAATGTGTTTGTTTGTTTGTTTTAGAGCAAAACCACATGCTATGTCCACAGTGGGAAATCTAACCCCGGGGGACTACAATTAAGAAGACTAAACATCCTTCATATGATGTTGACCTTTTACCCCCTGTCGCATATCTACGCATATCAAACGAGGTTTTGTTTTTAGCGCAAAGCTACACAATGGACTAGCTGTACTACTGCCCACCACGGGTATCGAAACTCAGTTTTTAGCGTTATGAGGTTTCAAAATTACCGCTGTGCCAAGGGGAGGGGCATCAAGTGAGGTAGCTTTGGACGTCGAATAAAACAAAGAAAAAAAGTTTAGAAAACTAATGAATGAATTCATATAATTGGTTTGCTTATAGATGATTTTTATCTACATCCGGTGTGTTTTCAATCTTTCCCTAAGTTTGTTTATAGTATTATTACAAAGATTTCCCATTTTACACTACTTACAAACCTACGTATTCAAATTTGTTCCTTCATCTAGTAATGGCTTTTCTTGTGATCTTGGCCTGTGGTCAGGAGTGAATTGCTCTCAAAACTAACACAAGTTGCCTGAGTTTAAGAGTTAATCTCAATATTTATATGTGAAGCAAAGCTGTCTTCCTTCCGTTTATTTTACTCTCTTTTTGGAATCTTGAAGTCACAGTTTGTTGGGAAAACTAACACAAGTTGCCTGTGTTTAAGAGTTAATCTCAATATTTATATGTGAAGCAAAGCTGTCTTCCTTCCGTTTATTTTACTCTCTTTTTGGAATATTGAAGTCACAATTTGTTGGGAAAACTAACACAAGTTACCTGTGTTTAAGAGTTAATCTCAATATTTATATGTGAAGCAAAGCTGTCTTCCTTCCGTTTATTTTACTCTCTTTTTGGAATCTTGAAGTCACAATTTGTTGGGAAAACTAACTGAATCAGTTTCGATGTAGAGAAACATAGGAGGATTCCGCAGAAGCTGGAATTTAAATGGAAAAGCAATCTCATAAACAGTTCAAGTGTTTCATCCAGTTCCAACTTTACTAAGCCTGACCTCGCCTGGTGATTAGTGCGATCGACTCACAATCTGGAGGTTTGTTTTTAATTTCGCGCAAAGCTACTTGAGGGC